GCTTGAAGATTCCAAGATGGACATAAATAGAGAAGGATGACTGTCAGTGTCTGGAAAAGTCCAGAAAGCTTTGGCCTATACAGTGGAATCCATGCATTTCTCTTTAGGTCATCTTACTTCACTTTTAACTTCTGTTTACTGCTAATTGACAAGTATGGGTGTTGAATAGAGTTGTTAGGATTCAACGAGGTAAACTGTAAAACACCCTTATGTAGTAGTTGGACATGTTAATATCCTACCATTCAGGTTCTCTTTCCAAAGGACAACAGTTTGTGCTGCTCCTGGGTCCAATCAACACCTCAAGGATCAGCCTGTCCATGTGACCCCCCACACCCAGGCCTCTTGGCCCACAGGGCAGGGTTTTATCCTACCATCATCTTCATGACCAATGGGAGCATGACAAAGCCCAGGTTCCACATCGGGGGAGTTTCTCACTATCAGTCTTTAAGCTCTGGAAATCCAGCCTTTAAATGGGAGGCTGTTGGTTGGTCTGTGGAGAAGGAAAGGGGTCGATGTCTGACCCTGGAAAACTTACATATTTTTGTGAATCTGATGTTGGCTATCTGCAAAATGGAAGCGAGGATGCCTTCTTCACAGACTTTTTGTAGGAAGAAAAGGAGGAAACCTGAAAGAATGACTGGCATGTGGGAAGGCTTTGATATATGTTACTCTGGCCCACTCTGCCTCCTCTGCCCCATAAAATGGAAGATGTGAAACATCATCTGGAAATGTAGCAGGAAGAAGTGAACTTTGGTCGCATCTCATCATTTCCTGTTTTCCACTTGCTTTCCTGTTTCCCTATTTTCCTTCTAGTTTGACCAGAAGCAATTTCTGATTAACCCCCAAGAAGAAGAAACAGTACAGAAGAGCAGAGGATAGGAACAAGTCAGCTAAACAGAAGATGGGAGTCATCAAACGTGTCTCAGTTGCCAGACCCATCAACTGACCACACGACCTTGAGTGATTGTCTTCCCCTCTGCTGGCCTCTGGCCTCTTGGCCTCTTTCCTAACAGAGAAGAACTCTCAACATAGAAACAGGGCTGAGGGGCATCGGATTTGGGCTCAGATGGACCTGGATTTGACCCTGGGAACCATTACTTGTTGGTTGCATGATGTTGACCAAATATTTTATCTACTTAGCTACTTTGTGCTCTTTAGTTACTGATATCTTTTATGGTTGTTTATTATTGTTACTCCTACCACTCATTCAAAGGGTGAATGATAGGAGTGGGGTTACATTGCCAGGTATTACAATTTTCTGAGAACCTATGATTTTATAACCATTGGATAGAGTGGTTGACGTACAGATTAAAAGAATTATAGAAAGGGCATGAGCAGACACAGATATATAACGTTATTTAATATGCAATGATTTTGGCATTTTCAATCAAAGTCATTGCTCATTCATGGGTCTCAGTCAGCTTGTTATGCATTCATTAATAAGTAAACTAAGATCACCTCTTAAACTCTGTCATTTAATAAGAACTCTTCCTCCACGTGCTATTACTTAAGGTAAAAGTTAAGATAAAAGCAAAAAACAGACTACTGAACTTTATATTTGCTATGATAGCAGTTATGTGTAATGAATATGCATTACATTCGCATGCGTGGAAAAAAAACAATGGAATGAAACACAGAACGTGAATTTTAAAGATGCTGGGATTGGCAGGAATTGATATTCTTAACCTCTGCACTTGGCACAATATTAAACAGTTGCCAAGATGAATATAGATTTTATTTATGATAAACAGTATAGCTCTTAAAAGTTCTGCTACTTATGAAATATTTCAGGTAAAAACCATAAAAAGCTATAGGAGTTCAAGAAAAAAATTTACTCCTCTCTAATTGAATTCCTCCCTTCTCTTCTAGAGGTAACCAGTATCCAGAATGAAATTTTTATGATTCCAATGCATTGCTTTATGCTTTTAGGCCACATGAGAACTTCCCTAAACAAAATATAGTATTGCATATAATAACAGTATAATATTGTTTTTCAAATTTCACTACACACACGCACAGGATGTTAAATAAGTCGGAGGATAATGGCAACTACTCTGTGTGTGTGTGTGTGTGTGTGTGTGTCTGTGTCTGTATTTGTGTGTGTGTGTATCTGAATTTTACACTCAGGGGAGCTTCATGAAGACTTCAAGAGAACACTTCAAGATTCCCAAACTGTTTGATCTGTCCTCCACAATGCCAGTGTTTGCTTCCTTCCTATCTATATCACTCTTCTCGGGCTGCTGTAACAAAATACCTCAGACTGGGTGGCTTAAAGAATAGAAATTTATGTTTTCAAGCTTTGAAGGCTAGACATCCAAGATCAAGGTGCTAGCAGGTTTAGTTTCTGGTGAGACCTATTTTCCTGGCTTGCAGAAAGCCGCATTCTCGCTGTGTCTTCATATGGCCTTTCCTCTGTGCATGTGCACAGAGAGAGGGAGCCGGTTCTAGTTTCTCTTCCTCATCTTGGAAGGACAACAGTTCTATAGGATTATGACCTCACTCTTATGACCTCATTCAACCTTAATTACCTCAAGTCCCTATATCCAAAATCAGTCACATTGTGGGTCGGGGCTTCAATATATGAATTTGGGGGCGACAAAATTAAGCCCATAACATTCTGCCCTCTGGATCCCAAAAATGCGTGTTCTTTTCACATGAAAAAAAAACATCCACTACTATCCCAACAGCCCCTAGTCTTAACTCATTCCAGCATCAATTCAAAGTGTGAATTTTCATGTAAATATCATCTAAATTGCGTATGGATGAGACTCAGAGGCATGATTCATCCTGAGCCCTGATTCCTCTCAAGCTGTGAACTTGTGAAGCCAGACAGCTGTGTGCTTCCAAAATTCAACCTTGGGACAGGCATAAGATGGACATTTCCATTTCAAAGAGAAGATGTCAGAGAAAGAATGGATACCTGGTCCCAAGCAAGTAAAATATCCAGCAAGGTAAATTCCGTTAGATCTTCAGGCTCAAGAGTAACACTCTTTCCTGGATGTTCTACCCTCAAAGCCCACTGGGGCGGCTGCCTCACCCTAAGGACCTAGGCAGTGGGCCCACCCTCATGGTTCTGCAGGGCAGCGTTGCCCCTGAGGCAGTGGCCCCTGAAACTGGGGAAGTGCCTTGACCACTGAAACCCAGGAGATAACAGCCTTGCCCAAGGACTTGTGGTGGGAGGAGGTGGCAGCACTGATGTCTTTGAATCGCCTTTGGGGTCATTCTTCCCTTTTCTTGAAGAATAAAGCATGTTGGCAACCAAATAGCTCTAATCTCCCCTCCTGTAGATCCCACAAATACCACAGCTTTCCCTCCTTCTGTCCCCTTTTTTCTGTCGCCTTTAATCCCAGCTTGCAGTGTCTCTGCTGGTAGAATCTCATCTCTATGCCTGGCTTCAGCTGAGATGGCTGGTTAAATCCTTGGGTAATTTCTTTATGGACTGATTGTCCAGCCACAACATTGGTGCTCTCCTGAATGCGCTTTCTCATTCTTTTTGCAATATGGATAGGCTGAGAAATTTCCAAATCTTTGAGTTTTATTTCCTTTTTGCTTAACCTTTCATTGAATGTATCTCTTTCACATTTTGTTATAAGCAGTAAGGAGTAACCAGTCCACACTTCAACACTTTGCTTAGACATCTCCTCTGCTAAATATCCAAGCTGGTTACTCACAGGTTCTATTTTCTACAAAACACTAGAACACAATTCAGCTAAGTTTTTTCCCACTTTAGAATCAGAATTGCTTTTCCTCTCATTTGCGATAACATTTTCCTCGTTTCTGTCCAAACCTCACCAGAGGCACCTGTAATGTTCATATTTCTACCAACATTCTGATAGTGATGATATATATACTACATAAGATGATAGAAGCTTTCTCTAAAGCTCTCCTCTTTCCTTTATGAGCCCTCTCCATAATAGCATTTACCATCTATGTTTCTAAAAACAATATTTCCAAGGCAGTTTAAGATTTTTCTAGCATGCATTCAAAACTCTTCCAGCCTTTACCCATTACACAGTTCCAGAGTTACTTCCACATTTTAGGTATTTGTAACAGTAGTACTCTACTTCACAGTAACAAAATCTTTGGCTGTCTTCTGGACTAAAGGATGTTCCCTCAAAATTCGTATGTTGAAACGATAACCACCAGTATGACTGGATTTGGTGATAAGGCTGATACGGGGGTAATGAAAGTTAAGTGAGATCATAACATTGGGTCCTTAACCTCATAGGACTGGTGTCCTCATAACAAGGGGAAGGTAAAGGAGAGAGCTAATAATGCAGAGGAAATAACATGTGAGGAAACAACTAGAAGGCAGCCATTTGCGAGCCAGAGAGAGCTCTCAAAAGAAAAAGAATTTGCTGGCACTATGACTGTGGAATTCTAGCCTCAAGAACCATGAGAAAATAAAATTCTGTCCTTTAAGCCACCCAGTCTATTAGTTTGTTACAGTAGCGCCAGCAAACTAAGACCGACTGCCATAGCAAAATGCCACAGACCAGATGGCTTAAAAAGAGAAATTTATTTTCTCTTACTTCTGGAGGTTTAGAAGTCCAAGGTCAAGGTGCTGACAGGGTTGGTTTCTGGTGAGGCCTCTCTTCCTGGCTTGTAGACAGTCACCTTCTCACTGTGCTGACATATAGCCTTTCTTCTGTGCACAGGGAGAGGGGGAACAAGTTCTGGTTTCTCTACCTCTTCTTATAAAAATACCAGTCTTATTGGATTAGGGCCCCTTATGACCTCATTTAACCTTAATTACCTCCTTATAGGCCCTATCTCCAAATACAGTCTCGGGGTTGGGGCTTCAACACATGAATTTTTCTGGGACACAATTCAATCAATAACCTCATCCCAAGTCTTCAGATCTTTAACAGGGATGTTGTTTCATAATCTCAATAGCATTACTGCATTTTAGTCAGTATTTGGGAACGTAAGAAGAGGAAAGAAACCACACACACTACTCAACATGATGTAGCAAATTTGCTGTTATCTCTGTGATATACAGTGTAATGAAACTGGGCTAGGGAAAGGTCCCCATCTTTTCCAAGGAATAATTGTGCTTTTCCTGTCCTCTGTTGGTGCCCCCATGTTTGCATCAGGTGCGCACCTGACCTGGAGTCCGGGATCTACTCGAAGCTCCAGGAAGAGCTGACTGGGGGTCTGCAGGGAGGGACCCTGGAACAAGAGTCAGGACCTCTCTCTGGGTCCCAGTGCCTGAGCCACCTCAGGGTGAGTTCCTTCCCATGCTGTGACCTGCACCATCACACAGGTGTTCACGGAGCGTCCATCATTCTTCACACCTCCAGTGGCCTAGGGCATGGAGAGGTCATGGTAATGGTTTCACAGAGTCCAGGGCCTTGTGGAAGTTATGGTGACCTCTGTAGAGCCTCCTTAATTTATGAAGAGAAGGAAGGGCTCAGTGGAGTCGTCAGAGACTCCTCAAAGAGGAGCTGGGCTGGTACAGTGGGCAGGACTTCTTGGGGCTGGGTTGAAGGGACGGGGTGAGGAGTCCAGCCTGACTGGAGTGAGGAGCCGGGGCTCCCAGGTGAGCAGACAAGGCTCAGAGGTGCCTGATTGGAGACTCCATGGGTCTGAGGTCGTTCATGTTTAGGACCGATCAGGAAAGGAACACATTTGCTTCCATGGGATGCTACATAGCCTCTTTACACAGTGAAATGACACAAGTGTTGGTAAGAAGGAAGTGCCCTGAACATCTGTCACTGGTCCCTAAGGGCAAGGGAAGACCCAGGAGCACTGACAGTAGCGAAGCTGAGTTGATGCTCAGCTCTCTCAACCTCCATTAAAATAGGAAGCTGACATCAAGGGGAAAATTTTACATCTAATGGATCCCCCACACTGCCTGGAAATCATACACGCTCTTCAATTTTTCACTGACGCAGGCCCCATGGACTCCCCTCTGTCAGTGAGTTTCTGCCAGCCTCCAGGACTCACATTCTTAACCACAACACTCTTCCCATGTGTTAGCACTCTCTCTACACTCTCATTTATTCAGTCTCTGCATCCTCCCAGAGATCACTCAGTGAGGCTTCTCTCTTCCGTTGTCACCTCATCTTTTTTCACCAGTTTAGTGAGTTGTATCAAGCACCACGCTGCTCTGACAAGTTTAGGCAAAATTGAACATTCTTCTTCACTATCTTTTACATATTGCTTTTGTGCACTTATCATTCCACAGAGCTAAGATCTGACCCACCCAGAGCCTGGTGGAAGAAGACAGTGATTGCAGGGAGTTAGTTTTCCCATGTCCAGACTAACACTCAAATCCCTCAGCTCGTTTGGGAATGCATCTCATTTTGAACCTGAGCTGGTTTGTATTACAAGTGCTGAGCATGTATATATTTTCCTTCTCTTTTATTATTTTTAGTTGCACAAGGAAGATGATTGAAAGGTGTTTCAATGCACATGTGTTGGTCACCCTGGGGCCATGGACTGAATGCGCCTGTGACTACACGTTTCCCCTGAATCCCACTGTTGAAGGTTTATCCCCTCTGGAAGCTGTGGGGCTGAGCGCTGGGCCATCTCATGCTGCCCCTCACTCTTCCCCTTTAGGTTGGGTCCTCAATCCGATGACTGATATCTTTATGAGAGAGAGGAAAGGGAGGTTTCACACACCTGAGGAAGAAGGTACTGTGAAGAATGAGGCAAACAATAATGTCATCCTGCCACAAACCAAGGAGCTCCAGAAGCCACCAGACACTAGAAGAGTCAAGAATGAATTCTCCCCTAGAGCCTCGAGAGAGAGCACAACCATGCTCAACACGTTGGCTTCGGACTTCAGGCCTTCAGAGCCCTGAGACAAGACACTTTTGAGGTTCTAAACCGCAGAATTTGTGGAGATTTATCATAGAGCCCTAGGTAACTAATACACTCACTATCAACATCCCCCAAAAGTCATTGTGAATAATCGTCACACTGGATCCTATTTTTTTCATGCCTGTGGGGATCATAAATCCAATAAAGAGATACAAAATAAAATAAATATAGCTAAAATTTCTGATTACCAAGTGTTCTTTTGTGTATTGTCACTTGCAGAGCTCACAGCACCCCTATGAGGTAGACACTGTTGCTCATTCTCATTTTGTAGATGACGAGCTGAGGGACAGAGAGAATAAGGACTTGGCCCAGGACTGCACAGTTAGGGAGCAGGACAGCTTGGGTTTGTACAAGTACCTCATGTTCCAGAGCCTGGAAACTGTCAAAGATTTGTTATTAAGTGACAGAAGCACTCCGCACAAGCATGCATTTTTTAGGCGGTGATTAAAACATCTATTTATACAAAATATCTGGACCTAGTGACAAAAGGTGGCTTGTGACCTTGGTGGGAGTCTGTTCATTGCCATCATGGGGACAGAATTGGTAGTGCAGTGAGATAAGGGGTCAGTGGGAAGTGAAGAACGTTAGCAGAAATGCAGAAAAGTCTTTCTGGAACTTTGATTTTGAAGGAGAGGAGAGAGAGAGAAAGAGGCCAGAGGCAGATGTAGGTTTGTGCCTGCACAGGGATTAGGGGTCCCAGGAAGGATTTCTTTTTCATCTTCAGTGTCCTGAAGTTTGAACAAGGTTAAAAGTTACTGTGAAGGAGCCATCTCATCTCAGATTTAACCCTTGAGTTCTCCTATATGTCCATCTCCCTTCCTACCCTCTTATTTCCACTTAGAGTTAATGAAATGCCTCCAATGGAACACTACGGGTTTTAAGCCCAATACCTATCTAGTTATTAGTGAATGAAAGAATCAACAAATGAGTGTCAAACGAATACTACTAAGTTTTGGATTTTTCCCCCTCAGGGAGGCAGCAGATGGCTGAAATCCTGGTGTGACGTGGCTGGATCTTGCATTACCTGAGGACCCCTGCACCGGTGACTGGGACAGGTCCAGAATTTTCCTATAAATATATTAAGATGCGGATCAGTGCTGAGCAGCAGTTAGGCCAAGGCCACTCCTCGCTGCCCTGGCGCCGTCTCTCACCGAGCTCAGCAGGTGAGGAACTGGATCAGGGTCTGCGCAGAGGCACGATGTGGAGCAGCTCTTAGGAGTTTCTGAAACATCCAAGAAAGTGGAGCACTTTCTGTCTCCAAAATGTGAACTCATGGCATATCAGAGAGCTATGTGCTTCCTTCCTTTATGTGTCTGCAATCTCATTAGGAGAAACAATGAGAAATGACTCCTCACAATGCCTGCTTCAGCCCGGAGGCTCAGCCTGCCCCTGCTGCTCTGTCTCAACACTGATAGGGCCCTTGAAGTCCCGCTACATGCCATACACTCTGGGCACGTTTTCTCATTTACCCGCTCAGGACAGCTCTGTGACAAAGGCATCCTGAGTCCCATTTCACAGATGACCAAGCTCAGGCTCATAGCACATACACCGTCTCCCAGATAAGTGTAGGTTTGGAAATGGAGGTCCATCCCTTGCCCTCCCTAGAGGACACAGAGTAGCCAGACAGAGCTTTCTGGAAGTCTGGGTGGAAAGGATACATATCCAGTGTAAGGGATACTGAGGTATCCAGAGAGAAAGGGCAGCCTCTTTCTATGCTGAATGTGAAACTTTATATGAGTGAAACAAAAAGATCCTTTTTATTTTTATGTTTTGAATTCTCTGGATAAATAGATAGATACCAAGCAAAACTGGATCCATGTAATTTATGATCATTGTAACTTGCTTTGGCACTTTTTGTGACCATAGTTCCCCGTAAATACATTTCTATGATAACATTTTAAATTCCTTGATAACAAAATTTCACTTATTTTATATCAACCAGTTGTTGCATCATATAGATGCCCAAAAATTTATTTTGCCAGTACTAGTGATGAAAATATAGTTCCTTTACTACGTTTTCTATTACAAACAATAGTATACTTCATCATTCTTGTTCAGATACATGCAGATGTCTTAGTTAGAATTTCTTCATAAGTTCGTGAAACTGTTCTTTCAAAACCATAAAAACTATATCTTTATGAACACAAGTTTGAAAAAACTATTAGTATTTTATATTTCTAATAATGCTATATGAAAGTGCTTATTTCTCCATGATTTAGAAATAATGTAAATCATTGCTAATCTGACACATGACAAATTGTCTTATCGTTGTTTTCATTATAACTCGTTTTTGCTGTCTGACTAGAATTCCATCCTTCTGATGTGACATAATCAATTCTCACAACCTTGTATTATTTGGAATTCATAGTGTTTCTGGTGTTCCCTATTATCAACACTGCATGGATGGCATTTAGCTGTGCTGAAGGGCACAGTTCAGGGCACAGTTCATGTGACTATTGGCACTGGAGAGCTGAATGTGTCCTCTCTGAGCACAGCTACTGTCTTGGAAGAGTTCTAGTACTGTGCCAGAACCTTGTTGGTGGATGGACGTCTATGGTGTGAGTGTGTCAGTGTGTGTGTGCACTGACAACTACTTTTCCCTCTGCTTCCTTCTGCCCTTTCATGGTGTCGCTCCCATTTGGTCTTCTTTCTTAATTCAGACCCAGCAATGAAACTAAGGAATTACCAGGACGGCAATCCTTATAACCAAATCCTTGTCACCATCTTTAACTACATCCTGACGATAAACTTCTAACACGGGAATTGTTGGTGTAAAGAGTGTGCACCTGTGTGGCCCTTTGAAAAGTCCTGCCATACTGATACCCAGAGGGGTAGTTCCAGGGTAGTCTCCCCAAAGTGGAGTTGTGTGAGAGAGGCCACAGAAGAGGGAAGAAAGTAATAATGCTGACATCACGTCACATAAGCCAGGCCCTGAGATCTCTCGTGGACCTACTCTCAGACCATGCCACAGTTGGAAGATGCGGAAGTGATCACAAGTGAACCAAACTTTACACACAAGTGCTACCTGAGGTCTCATGTGTTGGGGAAGGTCATTGCTTGCAAGAACACAGGACATAGAGTCAGCAGGCATAAGACAGTCACAGTTTTATATAAATTTATGTTCATACAAAACTCATGCATTAAGGCCTTTTTACCAAAAAGTTTAGTTGTTACTGTGGTACAATGCAAGAGCAGGCCAATGTCATATTTTAAACAGCTTTATTTGAGTATAATTTACAGACAATAAAATTCACACATTTTAAGGGTACAGTTTGATGATTTTTAGTAAATGTATAAAGTCATGCAACCATCACCACAATTGAATTTTAGACATTTCCTTAGCCCCCCAAATTTCCATTTTGCTTGAATGCTGAAAATCCCTGTACCCCTAGCTAGCCTCAGGCAACCACTGATTTGCTTTCTGTCTCTATGGATTTGCCTATTCTGAACATTTCCTATACACTGAACCATAGAATATTTGGTATTTTGCATTTGTATTTTTTACTTAGAGGAATGATTTCAAGGATCATCTATGCTGTACACTATCATTGCTTCACTCACATCATGGCCAAATAATATTCCATTCTATGGGTGTGCCATATTTTGTTTATCCATTCACCAATTGATGGGCATTTGGGTTGTTTCTACTTTTTGGCTATTATGAATAATAGTACTATGAACTTTTTCGTAAAAGTTTTTATGTAGATATATGTTTTCATTTCTCTCAAGTATGTAACTAGAAGTGGAATTGCTGGGTCATATGTCACCTCAACATGTGAGACCACAGTATACTTTCAGATGATTTCATTCCATACCTAGAAATACCTTAAGAAAAAAAAGAAGAAAAAGGTAAGACAGAGTCTAATGAAGTGGCCCTAAAAATTATTATTATCGTGCTGTAGACCTGTTTTTAAAATCCCTTTCAATGATGCAAAAGTATGTGATGTGTTAGGGAAATTCTGCAATTCACTTGAAAACCCATTGTCTGTAGAGTACGCTTCTCCATGATCTGACTCTCTTTCTGTGGAAGGTAATCTACTACTCTACCTTTTAGTACCGAATTGCAAAGTAATATTTGTAGACAAGCAAATGAATTATGTCTTGGGGAGGGAAAATTTTGTCTTCATTTGAACATTCATTTCAACACTCATGATCCATAAAATGACAAAAAGGTGGTTATTGACTTTGGAAAGATTAATTTCAGTGGAGTAGTGGGGAGACATCCCTGTTAGAAGAGGGATGAGGACTGAGTTAGAGGGGAAGTCAGGGAGAGGTGAATTGCGTATCGAGAATTCATTGTAGATTTTTGGTTTCAAAGTGCAGAATATATATGTAAAGAGGACAGTAACCAGAGATGTGAAGAGTGGTCCACAGCATTAAACTGTGTTCTAAAATCATCAATAATAAGAGCCTTGAGCAGGTTGAAATCCTAATGGGAAGGAGCCATCTCTTCTTAGATTTAACATCTGAATTTACCACACTGTCCTTTCCAAACTTTACTTCTTTGTTTCCATTTTGGAGAATGGAAAGCAAAACTTTACCGAAGTGATGATATAGAGTTTCATCTTCATGCCTATTAAATTTATTAATGGATGGATGCACAATGTGTCAAAAATATGTCCTGGAATTCATAGATTTTTATCTCCCAGTGTAAAGATCCTCCTGCAGATGACTGAAGCCATGGTGTTGGGTGGCTGAGAGGATGTAGCTTCTCAGGACTCTACAACGGATGGCTGCAAGATAGAATCCCTCAACTTCAGTGTTCAGAAGCAGACCGCCACACCTTACATCCTAGAAAAATCCATCCTAGCTTAAGCAGTTAAATTGACAGGCAGGCTTGCTTTCCACTGGGGAGAGGTGATTACAGTCTATGTAGGAGCATGTTGTGGTCCAGCTCTTGTGCTATTTGGAAAGACTCAAGAAAGTGTAGACTAAGCTCCTCTCTAAACTTGAATTCAATATATATCACAAAGAGATATTCTTAGCCTTTGAGGCATATACACAGTCATTAGGAGACCTCAGAGTCTACACACACACACACACACACAGAGAAAACCTGGAACCTATATGTAGGCAGTAGCTCTAGGAAAACCTGCAAGCCTATGTGGCCTTCGCTCATTGTTTGTTAGATTGTATGTCATTGGACCATTTGCATTAATAAATAATGACAATGATAATTAACAGAGTACTTTGTAACTAGGAAATTTTTTTAATTACCTTATTATCCAGTTAAATATGTTAACACCTATCATGATTACAAAGTGTAAAAATAAACTATTGTTGATTCCTAGAGTGGGAGTGCATGCGGGAAATCCTAGACTCTCTGATATTGCTGATGGGGATGTCAACTAGTACAGCCTTTTCACAGGTTGATTTGTCAATGTCCGTTAAAGAATTTAAGCACCTTGATCTTGCTGTATTTGGAGCCTGCTCCTTCAATTATTCATCCTCAGCACGACACCTGTCCCTTTATTAGAGAGTGTACATTCCTAAAGATATTGGTTGTTTGGGATTCTACTTCCAAAAATAATGACCTAAACACATTTTCTTATTTTTGCAGAATAGAAAATTGAGCCACAATGATGTTCACTGACTTTCAGAGATACAGGAGGACTAAGACCCTGGCTTCAGATGTGAAAGTACAGTTTCAGAAGTGACACAGGTCAGAAAGAAAGTAAGACTTACTTGAATGTGCTGTGATGCGCACCCGAGCATCGTGCAGTCTTCACTTGTACGTATAGGGTGTCAGTCTCTGCTTTTCCACATAAGAGAAGGATGTCCCCCAATTAGGTCATTTAAACTCCATACATCTTCGTTTCTCAAGACACAAAATGGAATAGAGATCATATTCTCTACCTCCGAAAATAAAACTATTAGTATTTCATATTTCTAATAATGCTATATAAAAGTGCTTGCTTCTCCATGCTTTAGAAATAATGTAAATCATTGCTAACCTGACACACAACAAATTGTCTTATCATTGTTTTCATTATAACTTGTTTGTGCTGTCTGACTAGAATTCCATCCTACTGATGTGACAATCAATTCTCAAAACCTTGTATATTGGGGGCGGCCCAGTGGCACAGCGGTTAAGTGTACACATTCCACTTCGGCAACCCGGGGTTTGCTGGTTCAGATCCTGGATGGGGACATAGC